AAAGGGTGAGGAACATTGGGAATATCAAAGAGGCCTTGGAAAATCATCAAATATAATAGATGAAACAGATTTTTAGTTTTAAATTACTGATAAGAAACCCTTGTAGCTAACAAAAACATAGTTATTAAAAAAGAGTTGATATCAACTTTTCCCAACTAATGGTTAGGTTCAGACTTTTGTAGTAGTTCTTTAAAAATAGAATTAAAGGCAAATTGTGTATAAGATTACTGTGTGAAACCAGCAAGCTTGTTTATTGTGGGTTCTAAGTGCTTCCCGTATATAGATGTCCTTCTCATTCCCAAGATTCAGAAAAGTTTTCTGCTATTATTTCAGTGGAAAGGTAATTAATGCCATTAGTCTGAATTTCCACTCCTTCTTGAATGCCAATTATTCTTAAGTTTGGTTTCTTAATATTGTCCCAGAGTTATGTACCTAATCATAGTTTCTTATCTATTGTTTTAATTTTTCTTTCTTAATTGATTTTTTTTAAATACAGGACAGTGGAATGCATCACAATTCTTATTACACATATAGAGCACAACTTTTCATATCTTTGTATATCAAGTATGTTCACTGCAATTCATGTCTTTATACATGCACTTTTTTGCATTATAATTCTTATTACACATATATACAATTTTCATATCTCTGTTTGTAAGTTGACACCCACTTCATGTTTTCATACATGTAGTTTGGATAATGCTGTCCATCACATTCCATAGCCCTTGCTAATCCCTTGCCTCCTCCTTTTCCCTCCCACCCCTCTTCCCTATCTAAAATCCATCTATTCCTCCCATGCTCCGCCTTACTACCCCACTATGAGTTAGCCTCCTTATATCAGAGAAAACATTCAGCATTTGTTTTTTGGGGCCTGGCTAATTTCACTTAGCATTATCTTCTCCAATATCTTCCATTTACCTGAAAATGCCATGATTTTATTGTCTTTTATTGCTGAGTAAAATTCCATTGTGTATATATGCCACATTTTTTTATCCATTCATCCACTGAAGGGCATCTAGGTTGGCTCCACAGTTTAGCTATTGTGAATTGTGCTGCTATAAACATTGATGTGGCTATGTCCCTATAGTATGCTGTTTTTTAAGTCCTGAGGAGAGGAATAGCTGGGGTCGTATGGTGGTTCCATTCCCAGATTTCCAAGGAATCTTCATACTGCTTTCTATATTGGCTGCACCAATCTGCAGTCCCACCAGAAATGTATGACCCATATCCTTGCCAACACTTATTGTTGTTTGTCTTCATAATAGCTGCCATTCTGACTGGAGTGAGATATCTTAGACTAGTTTTGATTTGCATTTCTCTGATTCCTAGAGATGATGAACATTTTTTCACATATTTGTTGATTGATTGTATATCCACTTCTGAGAAGTGTCTATTCTGGTCCTTGGCCCATTTGTTGATTGGGTTATTTATTTTTCAGTACTTAACTTTTTGAGTTCTTTATATACCCTAGAGATTAGTGCTCTATCTGATGTGTGAGGGGTAAAAATTTGCTCCCAGGATGTAGGCTCTCTATTCACCTCACAGATTGTTTCTTTTGCTGAGAAGAAACTTTTTAGTTTGATTCCATCTTATTTATTGATTCTTGGTTTAAATTCTTGTGCTATAGGAGTCTTATTAACAAAGTTGGGGCCTAATCCCACATGATGAGAGATTAGGGCCCACTTTTTCTTCTATTAGAAGCAGAGTCTATGGTTTAATTTCTAGGCCCTTGATCCATTTTGAGTTCAATTTTGTGCATAGTAGGAGATATGGGTTTAATTTCATGTTGTTTCATATGGATTTCTAGTTTTCCCAGCACCATTTGTCGAAGATGCTATCTTTTCTTCAGCGCA